GATTTCCTCCCATGCATGGTCTTTTAGGGCTAAAAAGACCATATTATTGCATATAAACTTGCATGGGGTCTCCATGGTCATAAAGTTTGCACCTTTATGCCATGGAACCCTTCCTAGACCCCAGATCTGAGATGTACATCACTTGGGACGTCCCAATCCCTAGGGCTAAGGTTCTTGAACCAAATCCTTCATAAGATGGAAACAAATAGATCTAAGAGAATAAGGATCAAGTTAGGGACTTGATTACCTAAAAATGCAGTAAATGGAGTGTAGCTCCTGGATCTACTTCTTCCCTTTTGAGCCTTCTATCTTCTTCTTCTTCGACTCGTCGAGTAGACCACTTATACCCCGCGTCCAATCTGGCATCTACTCGACGAGTTAGGGCTACCAACTCGTCGAGTAGCTCTTACAAAATGAATATTTTAATAGTTTAAATGCGTACCAGGAACTGGGAGTTACAATTCTCCCCCACTTGTTTTAGACTTCATCCTCGAAGTCTGCTGCATCTGAAAATAACTCTGGGTTGTGTTCCCTCATCTCTTCCTTGGGCTCCCATGTCCACTCTGAACCCTTACGGTGCTGCCATTGCACCTTCACTAACTCAACCCTCTTGTTCCTTAGCTCCTTCGTCTTGCGATCTAGAATCGCCATTGGTCTCTTAATGTAGTTCAGGCTATAATTCACCTGAATGTCCTCAAGAGGTACCACTGCGGAATCATCCATCAAGCACTTCCGTAACTTGGAAACATGGAAAGTGTTGTGGATCTGGCTGAGCTCAACGGGAAGATCCAGTCTGTATGCTAACTTGCCCACCCGGGCTATGACTCGGAAGGGGCCAATATACTTGGGGCCTAGCTTGCCCCGCTTCTGGAATCGTATGTCACCCTTCCATGGCGACACCTTCAGGAGAAACATGTCGCCCTCCCGAAACTCCAAGTCTGAACGCCGCTTGTCGGCGTAACTCTTCTGCCGACTCTGAGCGGTCTGGAGCCTGCTCCGAACCTGTTGGATCCGCTCGGTGGTCTTGAGTACTACCTTCGTACTTCCCATGACCCTCTGACCGACCTCACCCCAACAGATTTGGGCCCTACACTTCCTCCCGTAGAGCATCTCGAAGGGAGGCCGGTTTATACTGGCGTGGTAACTGTTGTTATACGAAAATTCTGCTAACGGAAGATACGTATTCCAACTACCACAGAAATCTAACACACATGCGCGTAGCATGTCCTCGAGAGTCTATATCGTTCTCTCGCTCTGTCCGTTTGTTTGGGGGTGGAAAGCGGTGCTGAAAAGGAGACGAATACCCATCTCGTCGTGAAACCGCTTCCAAAATCTGGAAGTAAAACGGATATCTCGATCTGACACCACCGAGACAGGCAGTCCATGACGTGCCACCACCTCTCGCACATAAATCTCGGCCAGCTTCTCGGCCGATATGCTTTCCTGAATCGGGATAAAGTGAGCGTTCTTGGTCAATTGATCCACGATAACTCATATCGAATCAACCCCACATGCGGTCCTGGGAAGCTTAGTGATAAAATCCATCGTAATGTCCTCCCATTTCCACACGGGGATGTCTAACGGCTGCATCTTGCCGTGAGACCTCTGGTGCTCTGCCTTGACCTTCCTGCAGGTCAGACATCTCTCTAAGTATCAAGCTACATCTCACATCATGCAGGGCCACTAGTAATTGGGTCGAAGATCTCTGTACATCTTCGTCGCCCCGGGATGGATGGATAACCTCAACTTATGGGCCTCATCCATTAGAACATGTCGTACTTCACCCCAGTACGGAACCCATGCCCTCCCTTGCAGGGTCAACAACCCTCAGCTGTCATAATCAAACGAGGCCACCCGGCCCACAATCCTCTCGCACTTCTGACGCTCCTCCTTCAGGCCCTCAACATGCGCCTCTCTAATCTGCTCCAATAGTGGAGTAATCATTGTCATCCTCAGACAGATGTCTCGGATCGGTGCCGCTACCGCCTTGCGGCTCAGGGCGTCGGCCAGTACGTTGGCCTTGCCTGGGTGGTAAAGGATCTCACAATCGTAATCCTTAACCACATCTAACCACCGACGCTGCCTCATGTTCAGATTCGGCTGATCCATGAGGTATATGAAACTCTTGTGATCTGTGTAAATGATACAACGGACCCCATAGAGGTAATGCCGCCAAATCTGGAGGGCGAACACCACAACCCCCAACTCTAAGTCGTGCGTCGGATAGTTAGCCTCGTGAGGCTTCAGCTGTCTCGAGGCATAAGCTATTACATGACCCCGCTGCATCAATACTGCTCCCATGCCTGTGATCGAAGCATCACTGTAAATACGAAGTCATCTACACCCTCTAGCAGAGTGAGAATTGGAGCCTCGCACACTCGTTGCCTGAGCGTCTCAAAGGTTGTCTGCTGCTCAGGTCCCCAGCGGAAAACTACCGACTTCTTGGTCAGTCGGGTCAACGGAACTGCCACTACTAGAAAAACAGCATTTTACGACGCGCAATTAATGACACACACTGATAGAGGACGTGCATTTGTGCGTGCCTTAAAAATTAATGTCAGTTTTCCAAAATTTGAAGGATAGAAGACACGCATTTTTGCGCACCCTAAAATTAGTGTCCAAAAAAAAAACACGGAGGGCACCTATCATATGAAGTGTGTCGTGTAAGGGTGTCGTTTTATATTTTTTAGGAAGCGCGTTCTCCATTTTTTTAATAGACGGGAATGAAATCCCAAAAAAAAATTAAACACCCCGCCTCTTTTTCTCCTTCTAAAATCCTCTACCAAATTAAGAACCCTAAAATAGACTAAACACATTTTCGATCATTCCTCTTCGATCAACCCAATCGATCGAACATACCAACACCTTATCTCCTACTAATACTCTCCTCTTAATCTTCTTCAACAAATTCCTTACCAGACACAACAACTCAACTCCAAGTCCTTCCTCTTCCTCCGAAGACGATGATTTCGCTGATTCAACCACCACGCGCATAAAAATGGCTTGAGCGGAGGCGACTTTTCTGATGGCTTGGTCCAGATAGAGATGGGCTTATCGGTGGAGGTGAGTGACGGTGGAGGCGAGTGACGGTATGTTGGTGTTATATTCAGTTACGAATTTAAATTTTGATGCTTGTAGATCTGAAATTCTGTCAAACAACTTCAGATTTTCTCGTGATCCAACTTCATTGCTGAAATCTACGCCGTTTTATTTGTTAAACGTATACACCGTTCTCGATCTTATTAATTATGGATCTTCGGTGAGACTGATACTAGTTTTTCCTGAATAATCGGACGCTACTGTATTGTTGATTAGTTAATTCCTCGAAACCGATCAAATGTGTACTTAGAAATATCCTGGTGAATTCTATTTGATTTGTGTGACGAATGTTATCAAGTCCAAGGGTAGAATTGTGTCAAAATTGTTTCGAAAATACACATTATACTCCATACATGGGATAAAAATTGCATTAATTTTCATTCTTGAGGAGTATCATATTCATATTAATGTTTAATGTTCACTGTTCACATTCTTTTGGGTGAAATTTCAAGGTTAAATCCTTATTCTTCCAACTTTTGGTACTTTTCATCAATCACCCCTTATTTTCTTATCAGCTTTGTGGGCATTATGATGTTTCTCATCAATAATATGTTTATTATTCCTTATATTGAACACACTTACTCCTATGCAGTGTCATTAAAGCCTAATCTTTTTGAGGGTATGCGTGTCTACTTTCCCAAGGGTCTGAATCAGAGATTCTCACTAAGTCACAGGTAGCCAGCTACACATTTAACTTATTTTGACTTGGTATGGATTAATCTACTTCTGATTTGATGAGTTTTCTGTTTTAATTTACAGTATTGTTATGGGGCCTACAGAACTCCCTTCTCAATTAGCTGACTTGGTATGTTGTTAATTCAATTTTGGACTTATATCTGCTTACGAATGAGCCTCACAGGTCACATGGAATGTTCAACTTTGACTATAATGTACATTATTCATCTTGTGGCTCTTTATGGTTATGATATCTAGAAATCTTGTAGTTTATGTTCTTGCATGACATTGTACCTTCAAAATTCAAATACACTTTAATTTGTTTTGATGCAAATGTCCATTTTTGTTATGGTGAATCGTTTTTTCTTGATGCAGGGTAGTGATTACAGGACACAATTCAAACTAAGAAATGGTGGCCTCCTTGGAGCTAGTTATATCCAGGTAAAAGATCCCTCATCTATTATATTTCATTTTTTTAATATTAGCATTTTCTGATGGGTAATATTCTGCTTGCAGAGTGTGACCCCTCACCTGTCTTTAGGTGGGGAAGTGTTATGATTGAATCTATTGATGTGGTAAACTTGCCTCCTTCCTATGATATGTCTATGCTCCCCAAAACTACCTCATTGTTAGTTCTAGTTTGGTTCTAGCTAAGATCAAGGTATAAACTTGCAAAGAGAAAAGAGGAAGGCCAAACCAGTTTCCTTTTTTTTCTATTTCTTTTTCTTCACTTAAAATCTTCTTCTTTTTCTATTCTTCTGTGTGAAAACTCACAGAGTGAGAAAAACATCTTGCAAAGAACAAAAGGGATCTACTGAGAATGTCTGATCAAATAGCAAAAGGTTAGGAATTTGAGAAGAAAGCTGACAAGAAGCTCAATGGTTGGGGCTTCTTTGGGTCCAAGTTTGAAGATGCTGGTGATTTATACGAAAAAGCTGCCAATTCTTACAAGCTTGCCAAATCATGTTAGTATTAAATATTAATCCTGAAACATTTATATCATTCTTTCTTACAAAAAACCTTTCATTTATGTATTTTAATCTTTTAAACCGTAATTTTCTTAAAGATTACTTCTTGATAATATTTTCAGGGGACCAAGCTGGATCTGTGTATGTCAAGCTGGCTGACTGTCATCTGAAAGTAAGTGCTTAATAGTTAATTCTATCATCAGTTTTTGAACCCAATTATAATCTTGATTTTGTGTTGTTTTTTCTAGATGGATAGCAAACATGAAGTTGCTAGTGCTTATGCTGATGCAGCTCACTCATACAAGAAAACAAGCACCAAGGGTATAAACTAAAAAGATAATGATTTTTAATCCATTATTTTTCCTGGATATTTAAAAAATGTTTTCTTTTTCTTGTTATCTTAAATGTCTGCAGCGTGCATAGCTAACCTAGAGCAAGCATTAAACATTTTCATGGAAATTGGAAGACTCAGCATGGCTGCCAGATAGTGCAAGGTACATACATCATAGGATTATCATTTATTTCTAGTTTTTTATTTATTTATTTTAATTTAGTTTTTATATAATTTGGTTTCACTCTGTAGGAAATTGCTGAGTTATATGAACAGGAGCAAAATTTGGAGCAAGCTATTGCTTACTATGATAAAGCATCTGATCTTTTTCAAGGTGAAGAAGTAACAACTTCTGCAAACCAATGCAAGCAGAAAATCGCACAATTTTCAGCTCAATTGGAACAGTAAGTTTCATATATATTAATACGGGATTAAAATCATGAGTAATAATACCCTAAAAATGTGTTATTACAGATATCAGAAAGCTATAGAGATATATGAAGAGATAGCAAAACAGTCTCTGAATAATAACTTGCTAAAATATGGAGTGAGAGGGCATTTATTAAATGTTGGGATTTGCCAACTCTGTAAAGGTGATGGAAACACTGGAGGTGAAGATCGTGATGCCTCCATTGATGCTTTTAATAAGCCAGTAAGTGAAAAGTTTGTGTTTTTATTTTCTATGGCATTGGGTCTTCATTTAATGTGAAGGGAGTGATGCAATGTCCAAACTGTAGGAAAATTGAGAAAGGTCGGTGGCTTTATGCATATGGTTGTCGACCATATCCTGAATTCAGTATGGATGACTGGACACATGATGAAGATCTGTATGATTTCAGCTATTCTGAATCAGTAAGTTGCATTTCTTTTATACCTTTAGTAATTAGTATGATATGATATGTTTACATATTTTGCAATCTTCATTGGTCTTTCCTTTTTTGGCAGTCAATGTGGTGCTCCTTTGGTGGATTTACTCGGCTTACTGCCTCTTTTGAGTAAGCACTGCATATTTACAATGTCCCAATAACAGAAAAATGAAACTACACAATGCTTTAATAAGGAAAAAAATGAAAATACAATTCGTTAGTGCAAAGCGCAAAGACTATATTGCAATTAATATATAGTAATAAAATGAAAGTAATATCTTGTGTTAACCCTGCAACTGTTTGTCCGCTTATAGAAGTCCTTCAAAGCTTCCCCAGGCTTTTTAACACAAAGAATAATAATTATAATTCAGCAATCTTAGAATCAATGTTTATATTTAAAAAAAAAAAATATTTCTGCAATTAAAAATTACCATTGGAGTTCTCTGTGAGTCAGATAGCCCCAGACTAGCTCTTATTTGATCAATTCTTGCATTGACTAGTGAAAATCTGACCCTTAAGTCTGAGATTAACCGACTCACTGACAACTCAGAGAAACTCAAGCTTCAAAACGCCAAACTAACTGTAAGACACATAATCCAAATCTCATTATTATATACTTGTTAAAATGACATTATTATTATTATTTTTTATGACTACAACTACAGGAAAAACTGAGGAACGTGCAAGAAGAAAATGACACAGAAGATAAGAGTGTGTCCCTGAGCACGGCTAAGTGGAAATGATGAAGAAGAAGAAATTCCTGATATTTGGAGATCTTCAGCAGAAAGATTTGGTGATCGGGTTGCATTGGTGGGTCCACATCATGACCCACCTACAAATATGACATACAACCAGGTCTTCCCTTTTAATCTTTAAAAATTATAAAATTTCACGCATTTAGCTGGCAGGAAATGAAATATAATTCAATACTAAAAACTCTAATTAGTTTAATTTGAACCTTATTTGCAGGTAGAGGAGGATATTTTGAATTTCTCTGAAGGTTTAAGAGTTATTGGAATCAAACCATGTGAAAAAGTTGCACTCTTTGCTGACAATTCATGCAGATGTCTTGTTGCTGATCAAGGTAAATACATTGAATTCATGAGACTACAAACGATACATATGGTTATGTTTTTATACTTTCTTAGGTTAATAATTTGTGGGACATTGTCCCTGCGGGGCCCGGGGACAGATTTTTAAGCATGCTTACACCTTGGCATGCATATAAACGTGCTTGTGAGTATTTTATACGTTCTTTGGAAATTGTACATGAATATTCCTTTTATGTAACAAGGGGCAAAATAGTAAAAAAAAAAAAACTTTGTATACTTTGTTGTGTTGTATTGTACTACTCGTAGAAATAATGCATAGATCATTTTTTTGGGTTAATAAATTATTCTATAAAATTCATGTAAAATATATTTTGTATATGATTTAAGAAACTTATTTAAGTTTGTTATGATATGCACTTTCTTGATCTTCCATATGGAACAAAGCATGCGTAAATGTTTTGAATTTTCTTTGAATTATTGACGTTATTGGTTTTTGTGTAATCTGAATGCTGAAGTTTCCTGTTCGCGTATTGAATTTCGTATTTTAGGTATACGATACTGACAATGCCAATCAGAAGGAGAAGTTTGAGGCCGACTTGAAGAAGGAGATTAAGAAACTTCAGAGGTATAGAGACCAGATTAAGACATGGATACAGTCCAGCGAGACCAGATTAAAAACAATTGCTTACTTGCTTGTTGTGTTCTCTGGTTCACATACATATGTTATCTTCCATTGGTCATTATCTGTTGGCACTTACACTTTCTGTTATTGCTGCCACACTATCTCAAATTTAATCTGGTTTTAGCTTCTACTTCCTTGTTGACATCTGGTTCTTCTTTCTGATACGTGTTGACGTAGGTTAGTGCCTCTTATGAGCAGGCTCTGATGGACGCCCGCAAGCTTATTGAGCGAGAAATGGAACCAGACAAAAGCTTTCTCCAAAGAAGGCCTAGGACAACAACCCAAAACGGTATCTATTGCTTTGCTTTTTTTGCATATGATACATGGAAATAACCTTCAGTCACTGTATAGTGAAGTTTCTTTGTTGATGATATTTTGTAGGATCCAAAGGAGAAAGCCAAGTCAGAGACTAGAGATTAGTTGAACAATACGGTATAACAGTACACTCTACTACTGCCTTTATAGCATTATACTAGTACTTTAAAGGCCTCCTTTTGTTTTATTATTTACATATGTGGATCCTCATTTAGACATTATATATGACAATGCTTATTATTGGTTAGGTGTCTGAGCTGGAATCTCAAATCGATAACTTTGAAGCTGAGATGGAGGGGCTATCTGTTTAGAAAGGAAAAGCAAGACCTCCAAGACTGAAGTCTTTTTGCCAAAAGCATTCTCATCAGCAAAAGGTTCATATTGATTTAGTATAACATAATTCAAGCAATGCATATTTAGTCATGGGTTTTTTTTAATGTTGTACATGTTTTGTTTTCTATAATAAATATTATGCAATATTAGCAAAATTTACTTACTATTGGAATGATTTTTGTATTTGACATATTAATGCAATGAATTATCTTTATTGTTTATGGTATTTTATTTTGTATTATGAAACTTTTAATATGTGTTATTTAATTTGAAAATTAATAAATCTATCAAAAATATATAATTTTAAAAACATTTAACATTATGACACGCAAAAATGTGTGTCGTCTTCCTTTATGACAGGGGCTTCCTTGATACGCATTGCGTGTCATAAACACACGCGTCGTAGAATTACGACAGGCAAATGCGTGTCGTCTTCCTTTATGACAGGGCCTTCCTTGATACGCATTGCGTGTCATAACTGCGCGTCGTAAATGCGTGTCATAAATGCGCGTCGTAAATGCGCGTCGTCTCTCGTTATGACAGGGTCTTCCTTGACACGCATTTGCGCGTCGTCTGAGCGTTTTACGACACGCATTGCGCGTCGTAAAAGGCTGTTTTTATAGTAGTGTGCAATCTTGGAGAAGTCCTGAATAAATCTCCTGTAATACATTGCCAGACCCAGGAAACTCCGAATCTCAGTTGGAGACCTCAGAATAGGTCACACCCCCGAACCAGACGTCGGAAACGTCCGGGGGCTTGCACGTGACTTCATCCTTGTAGTATCATCACATAGTATATAATTGAAACATAACATCATCATCACCACACATGTAATATAACAACGTTCATAGTTTACATCGAGTATTGTGTTTGAATATTACATACCAAAATAATTAAAGTCTGATTAAATAGAAATATAACAAAATATCCATTAGTTTGTTCAGCCCAACCTGCTTCAACGGTTTCCTGAGAATACAAGTTAATTTAAAAAGGTCAACATAAAAATGTTGGTGAGTTCATAAGCATGTTTGAGAAAAATGATTTGTATAACATTGTAATCACAAGAAAATCCTGTATTTTCTTAAAAGAGTTTAGTATGTTTGTGTCCGATCTTGTATTAATGTATGTGTGTTAATGTTTAATAGAATTCCAAAATTGAATGAAGAGAATGTAAAGAGAATGCCCCCAGACAACCCTATGTTGCCTGAAAAAGAGAATGCTGGTACATCAACCCCCAAGGTTGAGTATCGGCGCGAGTATGTTCCCGAGTAATCCAAAGAGAAAAGAGAATGGTCTCCCGTAAATTTCATAATGTTAATTCCTCTACGTGAGCCGTTATAACTGATGAGTTTTCAGAGCATTCTAACACTCCTATGGTGTACATGCAACCCTAGAAACATTGGATCTATGTTTGACTAAG